TTCCTCTGCCTCACTGATTTCCGACTCCGAAGGCAGCTGATAATTGTCAGATGGCCCTGGCTCCCTCTCTGCCTCCGACCAGAGCCCTCATCAGAGGGTTCCCCAGACTCCAGGATTGACCCATGTTCATCCCCAACCTCCTCACTGTCCGAATCTGCTGCCAGGTCTGTTGGCTGCTGGCGGGCCACACTAGTCCCCCCAAGCAGGACCACAATCAAAAAGCACAGTGGTGGGTTGTATAAAACGAGGAAAGGAAACCAACTTGCCCCCCACCAATTCACATCAATTCTAAGCACCCAAGCTGGCTGTTTAGGCCGGGCGTTTAATTAACGCAAAGCGCAGCTTTGTTCACCTTGTAATGAAAGGATTCCTCACACTGCTTACACTGGTACATTCGGGTTTTGCAGTGGTTGATCATGTGACTTTCTAAATCCTTGCTGTGGTCGGCCACGTGCTCACAAATCGGACACTGATAAGGCTGCCTCTGCCGATGTACCCGCAAATGCTGTTTGATGTACCCTTTGTTGCCGCTGCTGTAGTGGCATAAGCGACACCGGAAGGGCCGCTCCGCGTCGGGGATGTATTCCACCAGACTGCTCCCCAACACGCCGGCATCCCCCGACGGTTGGCACTGGACGTTATCTTGCAACTCCTTCAAAATGTCATCGTCGGAGGCATTTTGGTCTGTCCTCTCTTTCAATTTCTCAATCACGGTCAGCAGCGACATGCTGATGCCCATTTTAATGGGGACTTCGGAGAGCTCCGGTTTATCTTTCTGCAGTTCCACCAAAGCCCGTTCCTCTTGGTGCAGGCTACTCAATTCCTCCGTCTTCAAGGAGGCGATCCGTTTAGAATGGCCTAAATAGCCGCCTTCGGGAGGCCTCTGCCCAGCCTCCGAACCTAAAGGATTTACGTCGGCGAAAGCCCGGAAGCTGGATCGGGCAAGCTCCGCGGCTCGGATTGGCATAGTAACCAGGGCTTCGGCGGCTAGCGAGTGCAGCCTCAAAGACTCCGAATTGGTTCTCCTCCGGGCAGGGGGAGCATTTTCGTCAGCTGTTTTAGCCCGGCTGGGATTCATGTTCTCTTCGGCCTTTTCCGTGCTGCTCCACCCAATGATAACTTCTTCAATTTCAATCGAATTCTTATCCATGTGATAAACGTCGTCCGACGCATCCCGTCCAGCCGGAGGGTGTTCAGGGCCGGCGTCTACGGAATAATGCAAGACGCTATCCATGACTTCATTCTGCAAGGCAGGCTCTTCGGCGCTGGGCAGGCGCTCCACAATGACGTTAACGTGGCCCTTTTTGTTCGGGCTGCAGTGGATGATTTTCTGGGCCGAAGAAAGCAAGCTGTCAGCCCCCAAATGATCTGGGTCAAGGTCTTCATGCAACGACGCGCTCTCCTCGAACAATCGGTCTGCAGGGGAAAGTGCAGCCGGCTGACTGAGGGCTGATTCTTCTTTGACCAGCTCTTCCGTTTTGAAAGCCATCGGCTCAGGGCTGCAAATGCGAAGTTGTACAGGCGAGTTGTTGCAGAGTCCCGCTTCGTTATTGTCTAGGGACAGGACGACCGTATCCAATATGGCGGAATCCGACAAGGCGGCTTGCTTTTTTTCTTCCTCGAATATGGGATACGAGCAGTTCACCTCGCCCGCGTGCTTCCAAGCGTGCGTCTTCAACATTCGCTGTTGCCCGCACGTATAGCTGCAAATCAAGCAACGGTACATGCCGTATTGCTCGTAGGTGTACCACTTCCGCCTCCCCTTCTCAGGCACTTGGGGAGGAGGCTGCATCTCGTGATCGGTGCTGATGATGACTTTTTCTACCGGCCCGGGCAAAGCGGTACCGGACACCTCAACGCCATGCTCTTCCTTCAAGAGGGCGTGGATTTTGCTGCTGTTCTCCGGGTGACTTCGAATGTGGCTCTCAAAATCTTCGACGCTCCGGGTGGTGAAACTGCAGACCGAGCACATGAGCATGACCTCGTTCTGCTGGCCGTGTTGCTTCATGTGCTCCTGTAAGAGGGGGAGAGAGGGCGACACGGACTTGCAGAGGCTGCACTCGTAGCAGAGGACTTTCCGTTTGCTCTGAGGAGGATCGTCCATCGTGTAATAGTCTTCTATATTGATGGTGCCCAGAGCGGGCAGTTCCAGGGCTTTGGATGGGACCTCCGGAAGGCCGGTGGTGTCGGGGTACAAGCGTTTCTTCCCGATTAAAACGCATTTCTGCGACTTTTCACTCTCGACAATTTTGCTGAGCTTTTGGATGACCTGGATGAGGGGATCGGGTTTACACTTCAGCGAGTCGTCGGCGTTGTCTGCCGATGAGCTTACGATGGCTTCGGAAATCAGGACGGCTTCCTGTTCCCTCAGATTTGAGATTAGGGCAATGATGTTACTGCCTTCTTCCATAATACCTAAAATGGAAATAAACAAACAAACAAAAAATAAATTCATGCTTTGNATACTTCTTGCTCTGCCATTTGTGTAATGGTCACCCTCTGTGTAATCGGAGGGTAGGATGTATTGATGAATTATACAAACCCTGCTCCCCCCCCCATCTGCACTATTCAGGTGACACCAAGAGCGCAGATTAAACCTCAATGTGGCCTCAATGACCCTCAGAGAGAGTGCTAATGATCGGAGGACTGCAAGGAATATAAATCCTTCCATTCTCCAGCAGTCAGTCTGAACGGAAGCAGTTTCATGGATGAGGAGCGAAACACCTTCAAGAGAAAAACGAAGTCCAGATGCTCTTTGAGAAAGCGCCTTTGAGAGAAGAAAGTCTTAAGACCTGGCAAATGACGTATCATTGACTGGAGATGACCAGGCTAAGCCAGAGGATGGGATCAAACATGAAATCAGTTTGGAGTCGCTGTACTCCCATAACAGACCTAAGTCCAGCCCCCTCCCCCTTGAATCCCGTTGACTCCTATCTAGTGTCAATTTGCCTGGACCGTTAATAGATCAGATTCTTGCATACAGGTATGATGTAATTAACGCGAAGTGCTTTGACCCAAATTCCTACTTCTGTGCCTGACATTGATGTCTGTAGTCACTGCACCTAATATTGTACACGACAAAACTCTCAGATTAAATTAGTTAATCTGGCAAAGCACTACACTCCCATTCCATTTTAGCCAACACAATTCTAGGCTGCAGAAACAGAGGGAATCAAGATCACGTGAAGTGTTAATACCACTTTATAATGCCTTGGTAAGGCCACACTTGGAATACGGCATCCCGTTTCGGTCTCCGTGATGTAAAAAAAGATGTTGAGACTTTAAAAAGAGTGCAGAGAAGAGCAACAAAGATGATGAGGGGACTGGAGGCTAAAACATATGAAGAACTGCATCTTGGTATGTCTAGTCTGATTGCAAAGAAGGACTAGGGTTGGCATGATAGCGGTGTTCCAATATCTCAGGGGCTGCCACAAAAAAGAGGAAGTCAAGCTATTCTCCAAGGCACCTGAGAGCAGGACAAGAAGCAATGGATGGAAACTCATCAAGGAGAGAAGCAACCTAGAACTAAGGAGAAATTTCCTGACAGTGAAAACAATTAATCAGTGGAACAACATGCCCCCAGATGTTGTGGATGCTCTAACACTGGAAGTTTTAAAGAAGATGTTGGAGAACCATTTGTCTGAAGTGGTGTAGGGTTTCCTGCCTACGCAGGGGGTTGGACTCGAAGATCTCCAAGGTCCCTTCCAATCCTGTTATTCTATTCCATTCTATTTTATTCTATTCAGAGCCAAGGTGGCGCAGTGGTTAAATGCAGCACTGCAGGCTACTTCAGCTGACTGCAGTTCTGCAGTTCGGCT